ATAAATACATACATATACTTTTATATCAATATATATATATACACTACATATGTTTGTATATATATATGTTTATATATATATATTTGGTCAGTATTTTCATACAAGTTATTTTCTGCTTCACACGCGGGCGAGGAGTGATTGGAGGACATTACAAATAAATAGACAGGTGTTTGTGATCTAACTGAAATGGTAGAGAAGATGACAGTGCACACACAAATATTGGACAGAGATTCTGCAACTGACGTTATGGATATTGATGGTGTGGATAGTGCTGCAGGGTAATCATCTAGTCGTCAAGAGATTTGGAATGAATTTGTGCAGGCTTGGATGGATGTGGAGTGTGACAATGGCATTTTCTCAGCTACTGCATCAAATGCATTGTTCCACAAAGAAATCATTCAGGATATATATCGCACACCCAAGGATGTAGATGAGTTCGATGAAACAGATGCAAGCAAAAAAAAACTGAACAAGCTGTATCTCCTGGTGATATTGATAGTGAAAGTGAACAAGCGGAGAGTTACACGTTTGCATCACAGCATAATGATCAGGAAGAGATATTCGACATGGAAAGACTGCAAGAACTGCGAGATAGCTCACTAGGAGAAGCAACTAAGTGGATTGAAGATGGATTGAAATATGCACACCGCCTCTCAGAGACAGGGAATGTGAAAGTATTGGAGCTACGAAAAGAAATGCGACGTATGCAACGCGAGTTTGAAAAGTTAGCACAAGCAAGTAGGACTCAGACAGCTACGACAGATTTCTTTCTTACTAAGCCTAAGCCTAAGAAAACAAATGAATAAACTTTGAACCGAATTGTTTGGATTCTATGACACTCAAAACGCTAAAAATAAGATGAAAGTACATATCAATAGAGGCTACACCTAATCGAACTAACAAAAATCCCTCGGCCAATCAGTAAGCACCTATAGATGTCCACTTTTTAGATGTTCAATTAAGTTGCGAAGACTGACTGACTGACTATATATATATATAGTTATATAGATATAGATATATATAAGATATATATATACATATTATATACATATATATATATACAAATACAGATACAAATACAAATACAAATACACTCACACACACACACATATATATATATATATGTATAAATATATATATATATAAATATATAAATATATATATATATGTGTGTGTGTGTGCGTGTGTGTGTATATTCCTTCTTGTTTATATTGGTCGCATGTACGAATATCTTGCCATTATTCGATCTGATGTTATATGTGTATCATATACCTCCTGCAAGGTGCTCTTTCAATTTATAAAGAAACTCAATCAATGACAATGGTAACACTTTACCAAAAAAAAATTCAAGTTGGAAACCGTTCACATACTAGCATCAATTGAAAATATAAATTCATTTATGTGGTAAAATCTACATTATATGTGTATACTACTAGCTTACATCATACAAACATATATTTCTTCATATATATATACGCATATATATATATATATATAATATATTATATATGTATAT